GTTCTTCTAGAAGGAAATGTGTTGCTGGAAATGGATTATTTTTATTTGTGTTTATTCTTTCTTTAATGGTGATCTCACTTCAGAGTGCATTCTGTTACTTGGATGATGTTTGTTATTGTTTTGCTTCATTTTGTTTCTTGGTAACATATTTGATGCGATGCCATTTTTGGAAAATTTCCTTTCCAAAAAAAGCCCAGTTCCAGCTCTCTGGAAGAACTGCTCAGATACCTGTAATCCTTTCCTCTACTGTTTAGATCAGTCAAAACAATCCCCTATCAGGTTTCCAACTTCTAAGAGGAAAGGGATAGCTGCATGTGTCTGAACAGCTCTTTGAGGATGTCCTAGAGGCTCCAGCAATGGGTGGGGCACTCGCAGCTATGCTGGTCTGATCTAACGAGCAACCTCTTTTCCCAAGTTCTGCAAATACAGCCCAGGGCTGTTGTTGCTGGTCCCTGTAAAAAGGCTTTCAGACTGCAAACAATTTGTTTTGAGACTCAAATTGAGACAAATATTGACATAATTACTCATAATTATATAATGAATTAAAGACATCTGATGATAGGATTCTTTACAGTACAATAAAATGAGAACTGCCAGTATTCATAGGATGGATTTTCCCCTTATATGAAAGTGAAAGTTTGACTTTGAAGACTCCATCATTTCTGGATGGAGACTATGTGTTGTGTCTAACTAATGTATATAAGCAGCTTTTTTCCAGAGCAGGTTAGGCTGTTCATTTTCCTTTATAATGATTCTCCTGATGAAAAAACCATGCCTTTTCACAGAAATAAAGTTCTTCAAGAGAAGATTTAAATTTTGCCCTAAAAAAAAAGAAAAATTAAAAAAAAAACAGTTTTCTACCAAGAAAACTGAACAGATGGAGTACTACTACCTGTCTGGAAGGCTCCTGCCAGTCTCATTTTGCAAGAAGGAATAAGCTTGACAAGGTGCTCAGCTAGCAATGTCCCTGCTTTGAGTATGCCCAAATGGAACATGTTCAGAGTTTCTTTCCTGCTATTTGTTGGAGATCTTTATCACTTTCCACACAGCAGAAACTCCATTTTCCAGTCAGCTCAGTTCTTGAGCCCTTGCTCCAGTTCTGGCAATGAGCTTCTCTGTGACACAGGTCATGCTGGTTTGCTTTGCTCCTCCAAAGAGAGGTGAACAGCTGTGGCCTCCCGAGCATCGTTACTGGTGTCAGTGACATATTTCCAGGTTGAAGAGTCAGAAAAGACAAATGTAATACTGGTGACCATTACTTCTGCTCTGGGAGAGCTACCCAAGCCGCTCCCTTCCCGCAGCCTTTGTTAGCCCTGCTGTCCCAGCCCACTCCAATGTGCTGCAGATGGTTTTCAGCTACCACTTTGCTGCAAGGCAGTCCAACAGCTTGATTCATCCCCTACTAGAGCTAGTACCTCCCCTTTTTACTTTTAGGTCAGCCTGTATGCTTGCTCCTAGGCAGCCTGATAAGGAGTTTCTTCTGACAGTTACTGAGCCCATGCCTAATAATTTGCCTGAATATACTGCATCCCTTCCTGGGCCCAGTACTGGGGTGTAGGTTGATGAAATGGAGCGCTCTGGGTGCTGCTGGGCAATTGCTTTAGTTAAAGAGGAAGAGCTAAGGATCTGAACATGTACTGCAGCTGTTTGTGTATTTTGCCTGTTGGATTGTCTGTCAAAATCATTATGAAGCCCTTGAATTTTCTGATGGAGGCTAAAAGATCTGAAAAATAAATAAATTATGAAACATATATCTGCACAGAGAAGGAGCAAGCACTTTCTTCCCAATGAGTAGCTGGGAGGAAGCCCAATCCCCAGTTCCTAGAGTAGGTGTAGTACCATATTGGCTAATAATCCGCCCCAAAATTAAACTCTCTTGCACAGACCAAGGGAGTACCTTCCTTCGTATAGCCTGGGGAAGAACCTTCCCTCAATTTGTAGCAGTTTAGGATAGCACAGCTGACAAAGCAGGCCCTTAAATGAGAAACACTCTCAGAGATCAGAGGAGAAATTGTGCCTCATGAGATCTGCGTTCAGCTTCAGTTTCACTTGCCCATATTTGTGTAAGAGCAAAATGTGGTTTGAAAAGTTCAAAATGCCCTGTGAAAACACACAGCTGTTCCCTTCATTTAGAAGTGAAAGACAGCTTGAAATTCTAGCAGTCACGGTTCTGCCTCTCTCAATGAGTTACAGCTGGCCAGGCACTCAAATTTCCTGCGAAACTCCGCTCTGAACCAAGACCCAAGGGGCAGTGCAGCAATGAAGGGCTTGCCATAGTAACCATTCTTTGTGTCTCGAAAAACTGACAGGCTGTTTTCAGGGGAAATTACATAGAAATGTGACATTTTCTGTCTCAGATAAAAATAACATTCCCTTGATGAATCAGAGTTGCAGCAGACTCATGTAGGTGGTGGGTTTTTTTTTTTCTTTGTTTGGACTTGAAACTTTTGGGTGATTTAGTCCATATTTCTTAAGTTTTTAATTTGTAATCACTAAAGCTAATGGCTGATCAGAGCACAGATTCATGATCTCCACATTGATTCATTCTTCCCCATTCATATTTTTCTGGTGTAAGATTTCCATGGCTTGAAGCCACAGAAATATGAGTAGAATATACCACAAAGCAGTTGAAGGAAGTAGTATTATTTTAAAAAAATCTAATTGAATCTGACTTTATTTCATTTTGCTGAACTTAATCCATAAAGGAATGTGTAAAGCTCTCAGCCTGGCTTGGAAGAAGGTCATAACTGTAATTCTGGGCTGTAATGGGACAGCTCATCTGTCTGTCAGGCGGTCCTTCAAACTTTACATTTGGAAAGAGTACAGATGGATGTTTGACTTCTTAACATCTAGTCTTTACAACAATTTCATATCTATGATCGACCGATTCTGATCAAGGCTTTGCAAGAACTACCAGCAATGGATCTGCAATTAGAAACTTTAAAGCTTTTCTGATCTCACCTGGAGAAATCATACCAAATGGAGTGATAGTTCTCAAGTTCCAATACACTTCTCATGTTCTGAGTATTTCATTGCATTAGAAGATTGAAAACAAAAAAGATTCATGGTCACCAGTCATAAGATAGACCATGGAATATTACCATAGAATTATTCCTGCAATTTGCCCCTAACTTCTGGAGGAACTACATCCAATTTATTTTTTATTAAAGAAAGTCATTCAAACTAGGCTCTCTGCTTGAGGATATGAAACCATTTGAGTAGATTTCTTGACCCCAACTATGTCTTAAATCAACAATGAGATTTCTCAAAGTCCTACAAGACCAACATCTTGAACAGAAAAGCTGAAGTTTTAATTACTCATTCCCATATGTGTATCTGCTAGAAAAAGTGTGCAAAAATTAGTAGTTAGTATTTACTGTGTGTCATACATCCATATTATGGGTGTTGAGTGTAGGAGAATTCTTGGTAGAATAAGAGATATTTGGAAAAGAGATTTGAATGGAGAGCAAAGATAAATAAACCTTGGCTGTTTTTCTAGAGATCATAGATTTGATTCTTTGCATGGAGAGAACTTTACGGTGATGGCTTCAGAATAGAGAAAAGTTTTTGTTGAAATTCTGAAAGGAAGCATGCCAAAAATTCACAATGAGAATGTTCAGACATGGTTTCTGTGCCAGTAATTTGCTGGGTTGTGTTAGGAAGTTGTGCTTTGTCAGACAGAAGATCAGATGAACTGTGGCAAAGTGATAAAAAAGCACAAGGGTTGCTGTTTTTCCAAACTTTAAGAATCATAGTAACAAAAGTAGAAATAATAAAGTAATTCCTAGCTTGACAACAACTGGCAATCTGATATTATAAGTCAAAGCAATTTAGCTAAAATGTCTCATTTTTACCAGTTTTGTAAAAATTACACACCTCACCCTTGAAAAATGACATAGAGCGCTGAGATATTTAGTGAGGAATATAGATGCATATTCAGTATGATTTACTGGATTTTTGAAAGGTTGTAAAACAAGGATTTGAAAGACGCTTTCAATCTGTTTGGAGACAACTAATGAAAAGAGGCTTAAAAGCTCTAAGCATCCACTATCACCCCATCAAAACATGTATTGTTTTCACTGTTTGTGAATATATGAGTAACTTTAGATTTCAAGATTCAAATACATGAAATACATTAATATTTCCTTAGCATTTTAGTTGGTTTGTGGGGGCGTTTTGTGGTTGTTTTTTGGGGGGTTTTGTTTGTTTGTGGTTTTTTACAGTGGTGATATTTTAAGAGTGGGATGGAGGATTTCTCATCTGTATTTGGGGAACTGAAAGATTTTCAGGCTGCCTACATCTGCCAACATACTAACTATCAAAATACCATCACATAGAATATGACTAGGAGATCAAACATAAGGTGTTTCTAATTACAAAAGTTCAGAAAGCATGACTCAGTCCACTTCTCTTCCAAAGCAGGACACTAGCATAAGATCACGAAACAAAAAATAAACACATGTGAAGTTTGCCTTGTGGTTTTTGAGGATTTACTTTGCTTTTGGTTTTCGGTTTGTCTTCACTACTCTGGGAGGCCCTGGTTATGCTGACTGCTTGGTTTTCTCCATCACAAGTTCAGTCAGGCCTGAAATCAACTAAGTGCAGTCTTAAAGAAATTAAGATGCAAACAGAGTTTTCACCAAGGGGTTTGGAGGCTCTGAGCATATTGGTTGCATAGTCAAATCAGACCCGTGACATCCCCTTTTTCTTTGTATTTCAGTTTATTGCAATTTGCCCTTTTTCTTCATCCCCAGCAACACCAAAACAGAAAGAGCAAAACCTTCCTACTGAACACAGTGTGCAGCCAGGTTTAAAGACATATTGCAGTTATATTTGCTCTTAATTGCATTCAAATCTTTGCACGCTCCCCAGAGCTCATATTGCTGTGCAAAGGTGGCCAGTGCAAGAAGTCTCACTGCTTTTTTTTGTCATCCTGTATAAAACATTCAAAATTAGGGAGCTACTTTTTATTCACTGGATATTTTTTTGTTTTCTTTCAGCTCTATGATGGGCCTGATGTACAATCCAACCTGATAGGCACTTTCTGTGGACAGTCTCTTCCACTGGCAGGGAACACTACAGGGAGCAGCCTTCATGTGGTGTTTTATTCTGATGGACTGAACGCTAGAAGTGGGTTCCAGATGCTGTGGCATGTTAATGGTAAGTTAAACAGGTTTCCTCTGGGAAAGGTATGTTTCTTTCTTCCCTGTATGTATAAAATGGAATCCCAGCTTATGCCACCCTATATCAGCTAGGTAGAAATAATCCATTACAGCACTGAAGACTTTGCATTTCCTCATCACTCTTCAAATACTTTCCCAGTGGATGTTTCTGCACATGAACATCTTTGAAGGTCATCTGATCAGAGTCTGAGAGCTGTTAGTGAAATATGCTTTCATTTGCAGGAGCAGGCACAGGGATGAGTGGCATCTGCAGAATTTCTCTATTGAACGGGAGATATGTGCTATTACAGAGGACCTGTCGGTGACTTAGGCTTTCTAACGGGAAACACTCAGCCCTCAGTTTACCCCATTCCTGTAGAGCTGTGTTTTCTGTGCAGGCTTCTCTCTAGTTTTCTTTAGTGGTGCTTATTTTGTTGGGTAGCGCATTCAGTTCAGGCTGCCCCTCTACCTCCCTTCTCTGCATGAAATAACATTGGCCATGATGTGCTTTGGGTGTTTTTTCTCTTGTTCTTGCATGTCATGAAGGCTGTCACAGGCCTTATTAAATAGGAGAGCATACACACCAATTACAAACAAATCTGTTAATGACTGTACAACTGCAAACGATGTTTTCAGTTTCTTCATAAGTGAGGCTACAAATGCAGCTTTTTCACTCTGCTTATTTAACAGCGGTATTGGACTATAACAAGATTAAATAGTGTGCCATTGTACATCACATCAGAGAGGATCCAACCTTGAAAATAATTAATTTGCCACTGTTGCCCTGTCTGTCTAATCAATTCACACCATTCAGATTTGACAGCATTGTAAAGCAGCTGAAATTGGCGGCAGAGGCCCCACTGTGGGTTGCTGAGGTGTATGGCATGCTATACGTTGTTTGAATAGGAGCTCCTCTGCGCTGGCTCAGCCTGCAGGCGTTTGCAGGCTCCCAAAGGGCTCTCATTGACTAGACAGTGGTGTTTTGCATTCAGCGGAGGTAAAGGAGCATTTCTGGGCAAAGGAGGGACATATGTGGGAGGAGTGAGATGTGTGGCAGGAGCCAGCAGGGGAAGTGCTGCAGCACAAAGGCATGTTCTTGGGCTTCGAGGTGATGTCATTCTGGGACTGCACAAAAGAAGAAAAAGTGGGGGCTTTTATGCACAGCCAAATGACATCAGCTTCATACAGTAGCCATGGTGCTAGGTTAACTTGCTTTTGCTTTGCAGAATCTGCCTGCGTGGTAAAGCACTTTGCCTCCACATCCTTCTCCAAACATTTCCCGGACTCTCCAGCCCATCCCCCTGCACTCCTTTTCTGTACTGACACATTCACTTCTCTGTCAGACAGCGCTGCCCCACTTGTTAATCCTGGACACTAAACTGCAGCCTAACACTGCACAGGGCCCAGACTGCTAATGTGAGGCTGTGTCTAAGCAGCAGAGCAGGATCTGTGGGTTCAGATAGAGCTGGCTCCTAGGGAATGTCGTTACTGGCTCCAAACATCACAGCTGTGACTCCTGATGGCCTGTAATATGAGTCCAAGTTCCTCCAGAGCTGACCACAGTTGTCGTCTTTTTGTTCATTTGCAGGTGCTTCCTTTTTTTCTCGATTAGTGTCATGCACAAATATGGGCATTCCTCTTACCCTTAGTGGCTATGTTGCCTGGGCATGTAGTTTATAGTGGATAAAATTAGATATGTTCCTGTGGTTGGAGTGCTATATTTGCTTCTCCCTTCTGAAAAATCTTTCAAATGCACAAAAAAAGCTTATTGGAGAAAATCTCCTCGTCTAGGGGAACTCGTCAGGAGATGCAGCCTTTGAGTTAGGTATTTTAGTGTGAAGCGTTCAGCTTCCCTCTTCCCTGAGGGCAAATCCCTAAGAAAATCTAAACTTGGATCTGGTAACATCTCACCTGACAAGAAAATAACAAGGCTATATATGTTGCCGAGAGAAGAGCTTTTAGTTCTGCTCAAGTGACAAATGTATGCTCTAGAGTTCAAGCTGCTGTGAACTATTTCTCAGGCTGTCCATGTGCTCCTTAACTGGCAATTGTGAAGCATCTATGAGATATTTATCAAGGACATTCACATGCTTTGGTGATAAAAGAGAGCAGCACTTATATTTACCACCATGTGCCTGATACTTTAGACAAAACTCTTTCTGGCAGCTTTGCTTGCAGTTATGAGGTGATCACAAAAAGCCAAAAGCTTACCTCATTGATAACTGATGTGAGGAGCCCCTCCTGCCACACATGACACAAATTTGAAGTGTTTTGATTTGAAATATTTGCATCTGATCTTTCCAGTTGCTGAACCACTGCTTTTCAGCTTCTGAGTTGCTGATCTGGGTTGCTGAAGGAAACTCGGTCTTTAGGCTTTCCCAAAGACAGAATTAGTAACTGATCTTCGGAGAATGCTGCTATTTATGCTTAAAAGTGTCCTATATCATTTTAATTTGGATGGAAAGCTGTAGTGCAAAGAATTCAATTTAAAAGTGGTTGTGGTTCCGAAATAACACTGTTCATCTTAGGGGCTTTCATTGAGGAATGTAGATTTAGAACTGATTTGACTAAATCACTGATGTTTTCTTCTGTAGCCAGGGCCTCAAGAGGATTATTCACCAGAGGAAAGCTTGAATCTGCAAGGTGCTCATCCAACTTCTGCTGTTTATTGGGAAGCTTAATGTAGGCAAATATATTTTGGGGCATATATTGGGCCTTTGAGAAAGACCAAACTCTAGGTAACAGTCTAGATATTGCAAAGATGGCATGCCAATTGAATGCTTTCCTTAAAAAAATAAACAAACAAACAGGAGGCTAAAAGGGCAAAGGTCTCTCAGAGCAAAATTACACCAGTGACAACTGTCACTATCTGAGAAGACACATATTTCCTAGACCTGTCACTTACTTTATTTATTAAGCAATGTGCATGTAGGAGGTGACTGCGTTATATATACATCTGCATTTCATTGGAAGCTTACTCATTTGGCTGCTTGATTGTCAGCAGAGCTTATAAATTCAATTGGCTCTTCTCAGCACAGAATTTGCACCCACTATTCTGTTTTCTGTGACACATTAAATCCTCCTTTAAAGAAGAAGCAAAGTATACTATTGAGAAAATAATTATGTAGCCCCAAAGTATTGCATTGCTCTTTTCCTTCAGCATCATCTTCTTTCTGTTCAATTTCCCTAAGAAATGATTGATGGACAGAGTGTGGAGAAAGCCACCAGGTTCATGAGAAGAGAAGTTTTCATTAGTCTGGGTCCGTATTTTCAGAAAATGAAAATTACTAAAAGGCACACAATAACCACAGACTGGGGTTTTCAGTATGTGTGTCAGGTAAAACGTGAAGTAGTTTGCTGGTTCTTCGGGGAAGCATAACAGAAGCAGAGATTAGATTAGGATGCAGAAGCCATTCGCTACAGACATTTGCCAGGCATCCGTTAGGATTGCTGGAGAGGATACTGCATTGCAGGTCAATGAGGGAGCTGAGCCCCAGATTTCTTAAACCTGAATGATAACTGTTGTTGATTCTTAAGCCTGAATGATAACTGTTGTTGATTTCTTGTGTAGCCTTTGACGAATTGCCTTTTGTTCATTTTTCAAAAACAACTATTCCTTTTCAGTGTCTTTCTGTCACATTAAGTCATAGGATGCCCAGGGTCTGATCTTTTGAAGTCCTGAGCAGTTGTTTTGAGTTGTGGGTGCTACCATGTTCAGAGCTGGCTTTTTGTATTGCAGTCTGGCTATTAAAAGCATAGACATGTTCTCTATGAGAGCTAAGGACGAATTAATTTCTGTTTGTTCAGCAAACTGGATCTCCTCCCACCCCCCCAAACTAGTATATAAGAATAAGGGCCAAAATTTTCTTAAAATGCTTGTTGCTGAACAGTTCAATCAATGTCTGAGGACTAGAAAATGGCATGTTTTTAACATTGAACACTGGCAGCTGATATGAGAACTGTGGCCATTCAGAATCTTGGAGGAGTCAGCTCCTGTTTAAATGCCTAAATTTTCTTTTAGGTCTTTGGGTCCCAGTAGTCTGTCTTTACTTATTACCCATCTTACTGTTTTCAGATTGGAACATGTTGAAGAAAATACCAGAATTTTTTACTCTCTTGCATAATACCTCATCACAAAAATTATCCTGCTTGCTCCATTGAATAATATTCTATGAACTAAACCTATTCAGAGCAAAAGATTCAGAATCAAATCCATGTTATACATCATGCAAATATTAGTGTAGTACAGGCAAATGTTCATGTTACATGCTCCTTGGAGCTAGAGTCAGCTAATATTTATGGAAATATTTCACCATGAGCACAACAAATAGAACAACTCTGAATCCTTTCATTTCCTTAACTCTGATTTTACAGGAACAGTGCCAGTTCACTTTAAACTTTACGGAAAGGATTTTTCTAGCATGTGGCTAAAACACACCCATGAATAAATCTGAAACCTTGCAAATGATAGAGGTTTCCACAGATTAGTACTTCTGTATTCAGCTATAATTATTTATGAGAATAGCAATTCTTCTTTGGTTAATGAATACCATCTGCTAACCAGACGGGCAGTAATATGGAAAGATCTATAAATCATCCCTTGCACAATCTTCAAGGACTACTTTGATTTTAGCCAGAGGAGAGAAAAGACACCAAATATATGTTTCCTGAGCTTTTTGTTTACTGATTTCCTAGCAACTAACACCAGGTTGGGTAGTTGTTTTAAGCATTTTTCAAGGGAATTCCAGGACCTTTACACTATTAGGAGTATCTCCCCTCACTTTTTTTTTGTCAGTTTAACTGCAGAGCTGAAGTTTCCAAACTGACTGCAAGGAGGTCTGCACAAACTGAGCACATGTTGTCTGGAGTTCAGCTGGGAGAAACTTTTCCACAGTGCAGCTGTGTGTAAATCTGTCCACATACAGCAAGACCATGTATTTCTGTGCTAAGAAAAACTTTTAAAGGTGTTTCACTAGGAAGAGAACAGTTTCAGATTATTCACTATTATTTCAGTGAGAGCTGAAGTCATGCAGCAATTTACAGGTTCTGCTTCCACATTTTTATTTACCCCTAAAGACCAAATATTTTCTGCTTTGTTGCCATAAACTACACAAATTCAATTTATTTGAATAGAAGTGAACTTTAATCTGAAGTTTGCAGGCAAATGTAAACACTGGGAGAAAGTTTGTATTCACTTAGTGGTGATTTCAGAAATGGAAGAATTTTAATTAGCTGAGACAATTACACCATCGTTTAAACTTTTCTTATTTCAATATTTAATAAAGTAGGCAGACTACTTTTGTATGGAAATTACATTCCAGGTTAAATCTAAATGTAGTTCTTAGCTTGATCAAAAAATAGGAAAAGGATAAAGTACATAGAAATACATAGAAAAACAGCATGGGCATTTCTCCTGAAGTTTTCCTTTTAAATGCAAAATCCATACATATATTCACATATGTATATAAATAAATATGCATCTGCATCTACATCTTCAGCATGAACACCATTCATATGAATGTAATTTGTTTTAAACCTTTTCTGATTATTTTAAGTATCTGCCAAGGCAGGTTTCAAAGCCTAGTATAAGCATCTTAGGGCAGGGAATCTGTCTTCATAGGTAATGCACAAATAATATGAAAAATACTTGCAGTTTAGTTTTCCTTGTTGGCTTGTGTCTGATCCAAAGAAAAGGATAAACCTAAAAGAATTTTGTGGCTAATGAAAATGGGGAAGATACTGAATAAATCAGGGGTCAAATTCTAAATTCACCTTTTTAAAATACTCAAGACAAAAAGTTTGTGAATAGTAAGGACCCATAATGTTCCAGGAACTGAAATATAAGCTGCGAAGTCAGTGAATCAAATTTTTACTTCTTTTTTTAAAACAGTGTTTCTGGACTTTTTTATATTATTTTTATTTTTTTTATTCTGAGTCTGGGCAAATCTTTCACAGACAATGTTTGTAAGCATTTAAAAAAGTTTTTCTATCATTATTTGAGTTTTTCTCATTTTTGTGTTCCATAGATGTAGCAAGTCAGTTTAAAGGCAGCAATATTTATTTTATTCTCTTACGTATTTATTTGTTAAAATAATCTATCATCTATATTTTCAAAAAAGCACAACAGAACTGATTCTTACCTCATCCATATAAGAGCAGAAATGCAACATATAGACTTTCTGCCAGCTGGCCAGAGAGTTCAGAGATTATGTTTCTGCTCTGATATGGAGGTTCTGCTTGCATATGCAGGTCAGTCAGAAGTATTCAGGTGTGTTCACATGTTTGCAAAGATCAGTGAGTCCTTTTTTCAGCTATTAGTCAGTGAATACTTAGGCATAAACTTGAGCGATTTCTGATCTGTTTGCAAACAACTAATAAATGATTGGCAACATGAGTTCAGCACATTCATAATAGAAATGAATCAGAGAGATCTAAATTTAACCTCCATTTTACTGGAGCACTTAAAAAGAATCACTTCTCTTATAACAAAAAGCCTTTTCTGGGAACATTTGTAGTTGGAAGAAAAGAAATGGCACATTAACAACAGTTTGACATTCTTATTCATGTGTTTCACATACTTCATCTAGAGAATATTGATTAAGCTCAGAGAAAATATAAACCACTGTGGAGAGGGAGCATGAGTAATCTGAATGCTACCTGCAAGGGTTGCATAGAAAGAAAGGGTCTGTGCCCTCAAAGCACAGCATAGAAGCTTTCCACTCATCTGAGCCATTTCAGGTTTAAATAAAAAACATGTCTTTGTGGCTATCAGGAAACTCTTAGTAGGAGAAGCTGAGTCATAACTGCCTGTTTAGTTTTAAAATGTTCCCAGCTTTCTTCAGGCTGAGATAAATAGCAGTTGGCTTTGTTCTTGCCTGCTGAAACTCCCCTGCCGCCCCGTTCCCACCCCCTCAGAAGCCGAGCCATCAAGTCTGTTTGTTGAGAAAGCTTTCTGTTTCCCAAGCTGGTGAGGGGGCTTTCCCCTCCTGAAGTCTGTCCTCAATGGCCGTGT